GGAGACCACAAAAAGGCCAAAAAACTGCTTATGACAGTTTGTCACTTACAGATGAGTAGAATGAAGAATAAAATAAGCCAAAGTTAAGGGCTTGTATTCTTAGTGGTCTGCTCAAGTTTGGTTGTGGCTATTTTTTTTTTTCCTTGATCCTTTTGCCTATTAATATAGACACAAATAAAAGGATTTACGTTTACTTTTTGTTAAAGAAAAAAAAGTATGACTTTGTTCCTATCTGCCATCCCAGTTTCCTCTCAAATTCCCTGGACCTTATGAATAAATAATACCCTACATAGGAATCTTTTATACCTAAATCTGATTGGATTCATTGCTATTTAAAAGTGTATTTTCAAAACTAATTAGACGGTCAGCCCCATAGCACAGAAGATAAGTGTTATGTTTAGGGACCCAGATCCCACACACCTGACCACAGTTCAAATCCTGGCCCTGGCAGCTTAAAACACATGCCAGGGGTGAGTAGTGTGTGCATGTGTGCCCCTAATCTTGATGAAATGGAGAAGCTGAGAAAAGATGATCATAGTAAGTCTGCATGCCAAGACTTTCTCCCTTTTGCACACATGCCCTCTGGGGTTAAAAAAAAATAGTTGGAAAATTAATGCAGATATAATATTATTGTTATTATATTATATTTTTATGATCATTGTAGATTTTCAGTTAAAATTTACTTCGGTAATTAAAGTAATGATTTAAATTAAAATCAGCAGCTACTATAAAATCATAATTTTATAATATATATAAATATATCATTTCAAAGACACTGGAAAAAGAATTCCTAATGAAAGAAAATCAAAATGTGTTTTTTGTTTTTTTGTGTGTTTTTTTTTTTTTTTTTAGAGAGATTTTTGCTGTAGGGTGCATGCACTCGCCAGAGAAACAGAGAGACAGAAAGCAAGGAATCACCCTCCGGGGGAATGGCCACACTGAAATCCCTTCTCCTCCATTCTCCTCTTGGGGCCTTGGGCGTTCACCCACATGCACCTGGCATGAGTCTGAAGCTGCTGGATCTGGGACTTGAACCATGGTCAGCTATGTAGGAGTCCAGCAATGTAACCATTATGGCATCTGCTGGTCCCCAAAATGTGTTTTTAATCATCATGTATAGTATATGAACTATCTTACTTTTTAAAAAATTTTACTTTGGGATCAGCAGGTGGTCTAGTGATTGAGGTGCTGGACTCCCAAATGGCTGAATGTGCTTTGAGTCCTAGACCCAAAGACTTCAAACTCATTTTTGGTGTGTGTGTCCAAAATCCCGGGAGGAGGATGAAAGAGACAGGACAGGACTGTAGTGTGGCCTATATAATCACGGGGGGGGGGGGGGGGGTAATTTGTCTCTTTCTCTCTGTCTCTTTTGTAAGTGTATGCATCCTATAACAAAAATCTCTCCTAAAATTAAAAAAAAAAAAATTCTAGAGTGATTTTTTGCTATAGGGCATGTGTGTTCACCAGGGAGACAGAGAGAGACAGAAAGTGAGAAATCACCCCCGAGGGGGGATGGCCATGGCCCAATCCCTTCTACCCTACTCTCGTCTCAGGATTTTGGGCATGCACGCACACTCTTACAGCATGAGTTTGAAGCCACCAGGTCTGGGACTCTAACTACAGTCAGTTATGTGGGAGTCCAGCAAGGTAACCATTAGCCATTGTGCCATCTGCTTGTCCCAATTTTAAAAAAAAATTACCTTACAATATTATTTTATAGACCATGTTCACATTTTTGTGTTTGTAATATTTCATGAAAGTTATATAAGTTAAATAATAATTCAGATATTACCAAAATACTGGCAATGAGATAGATCACAAAAGTAAATGCAGATCAAAACAACAATGAGATACCACCTAACCCCGGTCAGAATGACTAAGATTAAATAAGCCAAAAATGGTAAGTGCTGGAGGGGGTGAGACGAAAGGGGAACTCTCTTACACTGCTGGTGGGAATGTAAATTGGTACAGCCACTGTGGAAAACAGTTTGAAGATTCCCCAAAAATCTACAAATAGAACTACCATAAGATCCAGCAATCTCACTCCTTGGTATCTACCCAAAGGACAGAAGAATTCTAAAATCAGAAAAGTGCTTGCACATCAATGTTTATTGCAGCACTATTCACAATGCTGACATGGAACCAACCCAAATGTCCACGAACAGATGAATGGGCTGAAAAACTGTGGCACATATACTCTATGGAATACTATTCAGCCATAAAAAGACCCTGACTTTTGACAGAAAATGGAAGAATATGGAAGATTTACTGCTGAATGAAGCAAGCCAGGCTATGAAGGAGAGACATTGTATGTCCCCACTTAAAATACACCAAGTGTCCGCACTCTATGACTGAAACTGATTGACTAAAGGTTATAGAAACACAGTAAGTGGATGTAAATACCAGATATAGTGTGTGTGAAAGAGTAGAGTCTAAGAAAGTACATTTAGAAGAAAAATAGAGAGGCAAAGCATTAATGGGCCAAAGAAATATGGTATTATCTGTTGAAGGTACTTTTATAGTTTTATCAAGTAGACTAGGGAGAAATGTTCACAAGTTGAAATATTCAGTTTGTAAGCTAAATAATGTCATTGACTGTAAAAGAGAAAAAGAAATGAAAACAAGTAAAGATAAAATACTTTTAAACATTAAATCAATCCCCTAATAACATATCTTGTTACAATTATTTATCAAAAAATATGATATTCTAGGGACCAGCAACTGGCATAATGGCTATGTCGCTGAGCTCCCATGTAGTCGACCACAGTTCTAGTCCCAAACACAGTGGCTTAGACTCACATGGGTTGTGTGTGCATGCAGGCCCAAGAACCTGAGAGGAGAATGGAGGAGAAGGGATTGTGGTGTAGTCATCCTCTGGGGGGGTGATTTCTTGCTTTCTGTCTCTCTGTCTCTGTTTTTCTAGTGTATGCACGCATGCTATAGCAAAAAATTTTTTAAAAAAAGTGATATTCTATACCAAAGCTTATTAAATATTATGATTGTTTCATGCAAAAAAATTCATAACTGGATTGAAATACATTTTTCATATCATTCAATATTGTAAATGCAACACCTTAACTTAAATGTTACTCATTTTCAAAAAGTGCAACGTCATTGGTTAATACCTTTTTGTTAAACCCATAATTAATATATTAAATATGTTTCTTCTAGAAATATATATGAATATATTCCTCTTTACAATGCATATTATACTTATGTTTGCATGATAGATACAAATGTATATAATTGGTTTTATCTGAAAAAGTGCAGAAATTAGAAAAAAGGTATATAATTTTAAGAATATAAATACATAATGACCATGTTACCAGATTTATGAATGCTGAAACCTTGTAATATTGCCACATACTTTCAAATAACAATTCGTCTGTGTGAATATTCCCCATTCACTAAAGTAGAAGCTAGCTTCCAAGTTCAGAGGATTTGATAAATCTCATAGATGAAACTGTCTGTTATTATATATTCAATTATAATTTTACTTATTTTGAAAATCTTAAGGTAAGATAAACATAATTATCATTGTTTTATTATTGGCTACTATTATTATTGTTTTAAAGAAATTAAAAGTAGCCTCTCACAAAAATTAAGTGATTTCTCACTTTCTGTTTCTCTGTCTCTCTCCGTCTTTCTGGCGAGTGCACGCACCCTATAACAGAAACCTCTCCAAAAAAAAAAAAAAAATGCTATCAACCAACTTTCTCTGATTGAAATTTAGATAACTCTCCACCAAACCACAGCATATTCTTCTCATGCACTCATAGACTAGTTACCAAGACAGCGAATATGCAGAGCTGCAAAACAAGCCTCTGATTAGAAGTGGCAGGGCTAGGAATGGAGAGCTGCATGAGAGCAGGGCTGGCCCAGCACGGCTGGAGTTCCCTACTGCAACTTCCTGCAGAGAACTGCAATGAACTGACTGTGACTCAAGTCTGGTATGCTGTAAACACTATCATTCTTTCAGCTCTATTAGCTGCCAATTTCATATTTATCTACATATTGATATTTCCAAAAAGAGAATGAAATATCACATCATTAACACTGCTATTATTCAATGAATGCAACAAATACAAATGAATGTTTTTAATTTACTTTTCGCCACACACGTGCATTCAAATGCAAAGCCCATTTGAATCTTTATTATTTATTTAGTAATCTAAAGTTGATGTTTATTTTAAACATATATACCTATGGAACTTCTTTTTCTTTTTCACATATTTTTGCTATAGGGCATGGGTGCCCTCCCAAGACATGGAGAAATAGAAAGTGAGAAATCACCCCCGCCAAGGGGAAGACCAGGCCACAATGCCTTCTTCTCCATTCTCCTCTCAGGATTTTGGGCATGGGGACCAGCAGTTATCATAATGGCTCTGTCGCTGGACTCCCACGTAGTCGACCGCGGTTCGCGTACCGGACCCAGTGGCTTAAAACTCACACCAGGCATATGTGCGTGCTTGCCCAGGATCCCGAGAGGAGAATGGAGGAGAAGGGAATGCAGCGTGGCTATTCCCCCGGGGGGTTGATTTCTCACTTTCTGTCTCTCTGTCTCTGTCTGTCTGGCGAGCGTACGCGTCCTATAGCAAAAACCTCTCAATAAAAAAAAAAAAAAGAATATTAAGGATTTGAGGCATGTACGCACACATGCTTGATGCTTGATGTGAGTTTCAAGCCTCCAGGTTTAGAACTGGAACCATAATTGATCACATGGGAGTCCAGGACCTTAACCACTATGCCACCTTCTGACCTGTGAATTAAAGGCACTGGGTGCATGGGTCTAACTAATTGGGACTGTTTTAACTCCATATATGGTCACAAACAGCCTGTCTGTTATAATCTAAAATTTCCTCCCCTTATTATTCTAGTAAAAATATATCTATTAAATCTTTGGAATTAATTTACTATGTGAGTTTTCTATCTCTCTGGAATTTTTTTTTTTTTAATAGACACAGATATCTTGCACTGAAGAAGTCTGAAATGTTTTGCAGATCTGTGAAGCTGGGAATCACTTCATCAATGTAATGTTGGCTCATCCCAATCATATAGGTTAGTTCATTTTTCTTTTTACCATCTTTAGGATGAATTATGTTAGTAATGATTATTAAATGCCTCGCATCAACAAATATTGAAAAGGAAGATAGCAAAGACTGGCAACACTTGAGATAGTATAGCATAATTTTTGTCTATGTCTAAGTTTTCTGACTATTCAAATAAATCTTAATCCCTAAAACTGATTTCTCCAAAATGAATTGTGCATACACATAATTATAACTGCCCCAACAAACAGAAGTCTTGCTTAAAGTTATAAAAGAAAAATTAAAAAATAATGATTAAATAGTATGAACTCAATTCATGAAGAACTAAAATGTATAACTCTATATTTATCTACTGAGACATCAGAAAAGTCATGATTCATTTTTGCATAGAAAAACATAGAAAAATATCTCATGGCTTTTCTGACTGTTCAGAAATGTGTGCTATGTTTGATACAGTCCCTCTATTTTTCAAGTGACTTAACTTTTGTTCCTGAAGAGTGCTATTTTTTTTGAACAAGTAATAGCACTGAAACAGAAACGTTTGGGAGAACAATGAAAATTTAGTAGTTATGAGGTTAAAAAAACATAGTTAAGATTAGAGCAGCATTTCAAGTGTGTTTTAGACTTCTGTGATCAAAAATGTTGTTTGTTTTGTCTTGCTGATTTTAACAGAATTAAATAATTTTGTGAGTCAAAAAAAAAAAAAAAAAAAAAGAAAAGAAAATTTAGTATTTAGCAAAACTGGCTCCATGGCCTGCTGATTAAGGCAGCCAGATCCCACATGGCCACCCATATGGTTCAAGTCTGGAACCCAGCAGTCAGAAACATGCTGGGCAAAATCCTGAAAGGAAGGAGAGATGGAAAAGAAGGGCTTCTGGCATGACCATTCCCCATGAGGGTGCTTTCTTCATTCCCTCTCTCCAGTGGCCATGCATGACCTCTAGCAAAAAAAGAAAAAAAAAAAAAGTTAGTTAGCTAGAGACCAAGAAAGAAAGAAAGAAATCCCTCCCATCCTCCATGGCCATGCTTCAAATCTGTTCTTTTTTTACTCTTCTCTTGGGATTCAGGGCATACACACACCCTGTATGATTTTCAAGCTACTGGGTCCAGGACTCAAACCACAGTCAGCCATGTGAGAATCCCTGGCCCCTTAACCATCATGCCACCTGCTGGCTCACTAAATACCTTAAATTGTTTTTAAAATTCTTTTTAGTGAGATTTTTGCCATATGGCATGTGCACTTGTTAGAGACAGAGAGAGACAGTGAGAGGGAAAATGAGAAGTTACTCCCCATGGGGAGATGGCCACACTGTAATCCCTCCTTCTCCATTCTCCTCCTGGGATTTTGGACACACACACACACACACACACACACACACACGTGCATTAGAAAATGGTATATTCTATTGGTCTTCCCATTGAACTTGGTAAAGAAGATGGAAAATTAAAGTAGGTTTTTTGTTATATTGAGTCAAAAATACCATCCAAGTATTGCTTTTGGCCTATTCCTGATGCCAACTACTGAAGGTTGGGTGATTTGAGATGTAGACACTGTGCTGAAGACTAGCATGCCGGGGGTTTGCTAGGAAGGGATTTCATAAATAGAAAGAAAGAAACCATTTTTAGATAGAAAACTGAGAATGTGACCAGCAGATGGCATCACTGGACTTTCACGTTGTTGAGCAGGGTTCAAGTCCTAGACCCGGCAGCTTAAAACTCACACTGGGCACGTGTGTATACATGCTCAAAATTCTAAATAGACTTTCTATTGACTGATATGAATGATATTCCTTCTGGGAAAAGAAATGTAATACACTGTAAAGTTGTATGTGATTCAATGTAATATAAACAAGATTATGATAATAATTAAAAAATAATAAAAACTCTGAATAGAATGGAGGAGAAGAGTCTGTGGCATGGCCATCCCCCTGGGGGTGATTTCTCTCTTTCTGTCTCTCTGTTTGTCTCTGTCTTTCTGGCGAGCACACACACCATATAGCAAAAAACTCACTTCAAAAAGAAGAAGAAAATTGCAAGCAATGTAGTATCAATAAGAAACTCTGAAGAATACAAGAAGTATAGCACTAAAGCTGGGATTAACAACTTTTGTTGTCCTGAATTAAGTCAATCAATTTGCCATTTTGATGTCATAGAAATTAAAGCTAAAACAAAAAGTGAGTGTGACCTTGGGTGAGGTTGCTGTCTCTAGCCAAGCAGTCTTCATTGAGGATGCTGAGAGTTGAAGGTTCTCTTCTGGGACATTCCCTAAAGCAGTGGACTAAGTCACGTATGCTTGAAGAAGAATCAGTGTAAAACATTTTAACATAAGAAAATTTCCAACTTTAATTTAATAGAAACTCTACCATAATGACTATCAGTTAAAAAACTAAACTGTATCATGCAGAGTATAAGCATTAAATTAGTAACTGCAAAACTTAGCTATTATTACAAGTAGTAGCAACTATGCTCACTTAAAGAAATATTTTATAGAGGGACAAGCAGTTGGCATAATGGCTATGTCGCTGGACTCCCACGTAGTCGACCGCGATTCAAGTCCCACACCTGGTGGCTTAAATTCACACTGGGCATGTGTGCATACATGCCCAAGATCCTGAGAAGAGAATAGAGAAGGGATTGTGGCATGGCCATCCCCCTGGGGGGTGATTTCTCGCTTTCTGTCTGTCTCTCTCTGTCTTCCTGGCGAGTGTATGTGCCCTATAGCAAAAACCTTTGGAGAGGTTTTTGCTATAGGGCATGTGCACTCGCCAGACAGAGAGAGACAGAGAGACAGAAAGCGAGAAATCACCCCCCCAGGGGGATGGTCACGCTGCAATCCCTTCTCCTCCATTCTCCTCTCGGGATCTTGGGCACACACGCACACGGGCCTGGTGTGAGTTTTAAGCCACCAGGTCCGGGACGTGAACTGCGGTCAACTATGTGGGAGTCCAGCAACATAGTCATTACACTAACTGCTGGTTCCCAAGAAATATTTTATATATATTTACACATACATTGTGTGTGTGTGTGTGTGTGTGTGTGTGTATGTGTGAATAAGAAAGAGAGATATTTTACACACACACACGAGAGAGAGAAAGAAATACAAGAAATAACCATTATTTAATCTACAAACTACATCTGGAAGAAATTTGTAGACCCCTGATTATTCTCCCACCTCCAGGGACTAAACATAAACCAGAGGGCTTAACCCAGATTATTTCGTGTGTATCTTCCATCTCTGAAATTAAACGACCGTAACTTGGATAGGTTCCTCAATCACATTTTTTCTTATTAATACAAGAACATTATACAGGGACCAGCAGTTAATGTAAGGACTATGTCACTGAACTCCCATGAGTCGACCATGGTTCGAGTTCCGAACCTGGTAGCTTAAACTCATGCGTGTGTGCTTGCGTGCCTAAGAACCCGAGAGGAGAATGGAGGAGAAGTGATTGTGGTGTGGCCATCCCCCCTGGGGGGTGATTTCTCGCTATCTCTCTGTCTCTGTCTTTCTGGCAAGCACACGTGCCCTATAGCAAAAACCTCTCAAAACACACACACACACACACACACACACACACACATACACACATTATACAAGAGTGTTTATATAATGTTATCAGGAGTATCAGTAATATTACATGGAATATGTATTTACCCTTATCTTGAAATAAACAGTGCTTAAAATCCACACCATACATAATGTATCTTATTTTGATATTTTAACAATAGTTATAATTTTGATAACAACATACTGACATTTTATTATGACTTTAGAATTGTAACTACAAGAGATTTGTTGGTTTGTTATCTAATTAAATCTTGTGATGGAGAATGAAACACTAATTTTATGATTCTTATTTGCTTTAATAAATGTCACAGCTCAAAGTTCAACTTGAAATCATTATGAATTTATCTAAAATGTTTGTATCTTGTTTCTTGTTTGAAAGGAGAAAAATAACTAACAAAAATCAACTGACAATATGGCAAGCATAATGAGAGCTGAAAATAACAATCCTGATTGCTGAGCAGAAATAATTTATGTGGTACTTCTGAATATTAACTATACTCATATTCACTGTAATCCTCTTATGAAAGATTTTCACACTATTCTGGTATAAATGTCATTCTTATTAAATTCCCTTTGATTTTTACTAATTTAATACAAAGGGAGTTTTGAAGTATTTAATAATCTTAACTAAATATGTCTTCTTTGACAATAAGGGAGGATGGGAATAGGCTTCAACTGGTAAAACACATTTTACAGTTTCAGTATGTAATACTGATGTAACTATTATGATACACAAAATAATGTTTATATGTTGCTTCATTTAAAATCTGAAGGAATTGATTATCCTTGTGTATTCTGCAATTTAACAGCAGCATCGCTGCAGACATGGCCAGAAAATGACAGCTATTCCATTTGAGTCAAAAGGTCATAACATTTGAAACTGGGTCTCTTCTGAGTAATTTGTGGAATAGGTTGCTATAAATAAAGATGACATTTCACGTGGTATATAGTTGTTCTTGGGGATTTAGTATTACATAGTAAGCATATGATCAAATTTGTGATATGTAGCATTACTGACATTTTATTCTCCTTTCTAAAAGGAGCTAATGCCTGTTTCCCAAGTCCAAATTATAACCCTTTCACATGGATGTTCTTCCTGGTTTCATGCCCTAACTACACCTATGAGGTATGGTATTTTTGTTTGTAAATAATTTAATTCTATTCAGTAATATAATAAAAGCATGGGCTAATTTACAAGTATTACAAATTAATTCACAGTATAAAATATAAGTATTAACTATATAAGAATAGACATAAATATTTTATTTGCCATGCTATACACCGAAAAATGAAACATTTCAATGACATTTTTCCCTGCAGAAAAAGAAATATTTGCATAAATTACATGTGCTATATTTAAAAATTTTACCATCTTATATATCTTGAGATATATCTTGAGATATTTGGGAATTTTTATTTTTACCAAAGTTTTTAGAATAAAATTCTACTTTTTATTATGATTATGATGCTATTTAATCAGTATTTAGTGACTTTATATTGTAAAAGTTAATGTTTTTGAAAATTTACTTCTACTTACAACTTTTCTAGTGTTTTAAACTTGCAAATTGTGCTCTTAAACCCACAAATGAACAAATTACTAGATTAATTATAAGTGTTTGTTAATTTCTGTTTTAATATAACAGATTGGATCGTGGATTAGTTTTACAATCATGACACAAACACTGCCAGGTGAGACCTAAGTTTATTAACAATTATTCAAAGTAAATTAGCCTTCAGGAGAAGTAGTTTCTGAGAATAAGTTACTGAAGTTTTGGCATGTTCACCGAAGGATTGTATGCTTTCATTTTGATGTTGATTCTTAGCACTGTAAAAATACTTCAAACATTATTAGCTGTTCATCTCTATGCAATGGTTACTTACTGTAAGATAGAAAATGTAATTCAAATGTATTTATTAAACAGTAAAATTTTGTTAAAAAATTTAGTGATGGGGGGAACCAGCAGTTAGCGTAATGGCTATGTCGCTGGACTCCCACGTAGTCAACCGCGGTTTGTGTCCCGGACCCGGTGGCTTAAAACTCACGCCGGGCGCGTGTGCATGCGTGCCCAAGATCCCGAGAGGAGAATGGAGGAGAAGGGATTGCGGCGTGACCATCTCCCCTGGGGGGTGATTTCTCGCTTTCTGTCTCTATGTCTCTCTCTGTCTGGAGAGCGCACGCACCCTACAGTGAAAATCTCTCAAAAAAAAAAAATTTTGTGATGGGCTGGCAGGTGGCATGGTAGTTAAGGTGCTAGATTCCCTCATTGTCAATAGCAGTTCCATTCCTAGACCTGGCAACTTGAAAATCATGCCAGGCATGTGTGTGTATGTGCCAAAAGTCCTGAGAGGAGAATGGAGAAGGGCCTGCAGTGTGACCATCCTCCCTGAGGGATGATTTCTCACATTCCCTCTCACTCTCTGGCAAGCGCACATGCAAAAAGGATAAAGTAGTGATAACAATGTACTTTACTTGAAAGTCTCTCTTTTAAATGTGCACAGGCATGTATGTGCTTTGTCCCTGAATGAAATGAGTATCTGTGAAAGGAGAGCAGGGGAGCATGAGTGTGTAATTAACTGGGCAATTTAACATACACTAGGAAGTTGGATTGCATGTGCTCCATTTGTTACATGGGACATACGTAATATCTAATGTATTCACTCTGTGTTTCACTTCGCAACCATTTTGAATCACAATGTAGTTTATCATATGTGCATGTGTATCTAGAGAGATATATATGCATAAGGAAACTGTTTTTGAAAGATATTAAAAATTATTTGGGAATATTTTTTGGCAGTGAGATATAAAAATGTAGATTTTGAACTATGCTATGTACTTCTGTTTATTCAACTTTGCAACAAATATTGACCATGTATTACGCTGCACGATGAGTAACAGTAAAAGAAACCAATAGAAAATTATGCAAAATTTTAGACTTCTTTTTTTTTTTTTTTTGAGAGGTTTTTGCTATAGGGCGCGTGCGCTCGCCAGACAGACAGAGAGAGACATAGAGAAAGAAAGCGAGAAATCACCCCCCCCCAGGGGGATGGTCATGCCGCAATCCCTTCTCCTCCATTCTCCTCTCAGGATCTTGGGCACACACACGCACACATGCCCAGCGTGAGTTTTAAGCCACCGGGTCCGGGACGTGAACCGCGGTCGACTACGTGGGAGTCCAGCGACATAGCCATTACGCTAACTGCCAGTCCCCGAGACATGTTTTCAAAGCTCTGTGTGTTAGGATTTTTTTTTCTGAAATAACTTACAACATCCTTTACAGAAATTAGAAAGAAAGGATAATTGTTTCTTTTTTCCTTCTAGTTGGGATTTTTACACTACTGATGAGTATCCAGATGTCTTTGTGGGCACAAAAGAAACATAAGATTTATCTGAAGAGATTCAGTTCTTTCATGCATAGGAAGTCAGCAATGATTCCATTCATATTGTAAGAAAAATAAGTAATCATTTCTCATAAACAGAAAGGTAATACATAAATCCACTAAATCAGAATTTGTCAAGCATGGTTAATTACTAAGTACCAGCAATTCATGATCAATAGTATTTGTACTAAGTAAAACATAAGCAAGTTGCATTTAGCTAAATTCAGAAAAATAGACTTGGACTAAACATAGAGATTATTAATACACTTAATGAATAACAGTATTGAGTATACTGGCAAGAGATTAGTCCATCAACAAAATTGTCTTCATTAATATTTCACTATATTATTTGTAAAAGACTAATGTATGAATTCTAAAGTAAATACTTTTAAAGTCATGACATTTAAAGCACTTGAATTTTAAACATTATTTTGATAGTTATTTTATTTTCTCTTTATTGTTTAATGTCATTGAGAATTGCCAAATGTCTTATAAGTTCAATTTCTTGTGAAAATTCCATCTATATTAAAAGTAAAATAGTTAAAATGAGTGTATCTTATTTATTCATTTTATATAGTGTGCCATAGTTTTGAAATTATTAGAATAAATATATTTTCTAAATATAATTAGTTTATGTATTTGAAATGAATACTTTACTTATATTTTTATATAAGCTATATTTATGTATATATACACAAATTTTAAAATATATGTATACACACATATGCAATTCAAATGGATTGTATGTGATAGTGAAGAGAGAGTGCATTGGTAATTTTCAAACATTGAAAATTTGCTTTTTTTGTTTTATTTTTACAATTTTTAATACCAATATTCTCTCAGAGCTTGTGTGTGTGTGTGTATTTGTGTATGTGTGTGTGTGTGTGTTTGACCAAGAAGAGATTGATGCTATAAAAGTCAAAGCATACTTTAGTTAAAAGATTTAAAAGAAATTAAATTTCTTTATTTTTTAATTGGGTTCATTAGCTTGGTTAATCTATAGAGGCTTTCTAATTTTTAGATTTTGTACACACATGGCAAAATATCCTAGGTCAAGGTAGGTCTGCGTGCACTCGGTGTCCATTTTTTACTTAAATATATGTATGGTTCTTCACGAAAGACTCTTTTCAATACTTTATCATTCCTAAATGTACACTATTAAAATAAGAGTAAACAAGAACAAAGTTTTAACTCCTAATACCTATTCAACAAAATAGTATGGCATCAGTTAATGATCTTAAAAGGAAGAATTAATCCATCAAAGACCAACACCTAACACAACTGTATGATATACTACCCACGACAAATGCCCCTTTGTGGAAAGACTGAAAGTAGTGTCTACTTTGCACCTGGATCCTTGCTGATACTAACCCTGGAAGTGCGCACATCCCAGTGGGAGTAGAGAGTCTCTGTTGCTGCAGGAAAGGATGGGACCTATCTGCACATACCTGGCAGACATTTCTCATCCCATTGTGCTACATTCCCTTCTCCCAGTTGCTCCTGATGTCTGTCTCATATCACTCACTACTTTACTACTGGTAGACATGCTTTTTAGTTGATAAATGCCTCAAACAGGAAATGTTTAAAAAAAATTTTAAGTTTTATTTCCTGGTGATCTCACTGCCTAAAACATCCAAAGAGGCTGACAAACTTGTTATCAGTATTAATGTTGCAGGTATAACACTGTAGCAGCCATATATATGTTTTCAGCATTTGAAGTATAACCTTCTGGGGACTAAATGGTGGAACAGCAGTAAAATGTGACACTCTGCAAGGCTGATCCACATGGGAAGGTTCCTGCTTAGCATCTAGAGAAGTCTCTGACTGCACCATGAGAATGAGTGCTGAGTTGAGACTGGATGTGGACTGTGGCTTCCAAATACTTTCAGGGGTTCTGTCTCTCTCTCTTCCTCTCTCTCTCTCTCTCTCTCTGTCTCCATGGCTCATGAAAAACTAAATACACAAACTTAAATAAAAGCAACCTACAATTATAGCGTTTAGGACATACTATATATAAGAGTACATAGATGTGAATCTCACACATAATATATACACACATAGATTTTATCATTTCTTTTATTTATTATATATTTTATCCCCCTTTTGTTCTGTCTGCCATATTCAATTTATTTAATCCTATTGCCTTCAAATTCTGAACTCTGATATATGCCTATCGTCATAAAACTACAATGAAACTCTTTAACCATATTATAGTCATTTGATGAGGATGCTGGATTCCCACGTGGCCGACCATGGTTTGAGTCCCGGACCTGGCAGCTTGCTTTCTCACTTTCCCTCTCTCTCTGTCCCTCTTTGGTCAAATTAAAAATAAATAAATATAAAATAAAGTTCAATAAATATTTTTTTTTAAATTAAAATAAGTAATTATAATTGTCCTCTAATACAAAACACTTTATGTGATAATCTTATCTATTCATTTATGTGTTCCTTTGGCACATATCTAGGTAACTTAATTTCAGCATATAGTGTCTCTTATAAAAATAGCATTCAACATTGAATAGACTAGTTGTAGATGTATCTTGATTATATTTACATGTATGTATGTTTATTGGGAAAAGGGGAAGAGATCATTGCCAAAGATGGCTCAAGAAATGAAGCATTTAAATGTGAAATTGAAGCCAAAAATAAAATTGAACCTATGTTTAGTAGATATTACAATTTGAGCAGGTTCATAGAAAACAAAGGTAAATGTTAACAAAATACTGCAGAAAATATATTTTCTTATACTAGAGAGATTAACTGTAAAATTGCTGGTTTAGTTACTTATTCAAGTCTTGTACTGGCCTCAGGATGTGTTTAAAGTTTATTCACTTATTTCCTCGATGAGTGAAAGAGACAGACAGGGAGAGAGAGACAGAGAGAGCAAGCAACTCCAAAATGATCTTGATGCAGCAATCCACTCCCAGCTTCAGCCAATCCCAGTTCATGGCACACACCAGCCCAGCATAATCAGGGACTTCTCCAGATGTGAACTCAGAACCCTCTCATGGGGGTCAGTGTCATGGAGTGTCCCGGTTCACCACTGTGCTACTGTCTGCCCTCACGAAATATGTTTTGTTATACCATATTCCTCTAAAGTATCAACGCTCTCATCCTATACATGAGATATTTACATTCTCCAATTCGCTTTTATGTATTTTTAACAATTGTGGGTATTTTTATGTCACGGTAAAGATTATTTTATTTGAAATTAATAAACTCCATTCTTTCAATAGAGAAAGGCAAATAGACTGTATTTATAATTTAGTAAAATATACATATACCTAATACCTCCCTGAAACCAATCTGAGGTTGGCCAAAGTTTTGTTGTTTGGAAAGGGGACAAGTTGAATGCTTTCCTCAGCCATAACAACTAGAGAATAATGCTAAGATGCTGCTGTTTCACATCTATATTTTATACTCCATGTATTGAGAGATTTGTTTACGGAAATGAATTTTAGATGTGGCAATTAGTGAGAAGAGAGAAGGGCAAGATGGAGCCATCATTTTTTAGATAGTTTATTTCAGAGACAAAACACATTCAATCATAATTGCAATTCTACATGTTTGCTGGCTTAATTACTGTACTAAATTAAATATCCTTCCTAATATGCATGTCATAGAATAAGACATAAAATTGAAAATTAGGACCATGAAACTTCTGCACATGCCTGGGGGTCACTTTGTTTTTAGGCTCATCCTAAACACGCTTTTGCTTTTCTCAAATTATCCCACATTTCTTTCTGACACTAGAAACAAGTCCCTGACTTATAATTTGGACTTTCAAGGATATTTGTTGTTTTAGGTGTAGATTGTAGCCAATCTTCTATTAGATGATTAAAGTTCTTTAAAAGTGTTTCTTAATAAAAGTGCCTAAGAAATACAAGTTTGTCAAACTAATGTGTTATGCACTGTCACAAAACAAACAAACAAACAAACAAACAAAAAACATTGTCCTCTTCTTGTGGAAGATTGCAAACATTTAAAATAAAGTAAGCAATTTACATTCTTGAGGTGCAGAAATTATTTTATATTTAAATGTAGGAGCTAAAGCCTTCTAGGTATATCCCAAGTATTTTTAATAAGAAGGGCTAGTGCAACATAATTCATAAAGATAAAAATAGTAGAATTAATTGAAATCAATGAAAATATATGCATTAAAAGCAATATTAAGTTTTATCTTTGTTTCTTTTTTATGCCTTGGGTTTCATGACATATAAGAGGCAGACATTACCTCAATTGAAAACAGAAATTTAAAAATTATAGAATTGTGAAGGGCCGATAGGTGGTGTGGTGGTCAAGGCACTGAATGCCCACATGGCTGATTGGAATTTGAGTCCCAGATGTGGTCTCCTGAAAAACACATCTGGCGCATGTGTGTGCATGCCAAAAATCCTGAGAGGTGAATGGAAAAGGGATTGTGGTGTGGCCACTCTGAGCAGTGATTGCTCACTTTCCTTCTTTTTCTCTCTCTGTCTCTAGCAAGTATATTTGCTGTATAGCAGAAAAGGAAAAAATAAAATGGTAAGGCTAGCTATTAATACATAGCCTCGTGTTTAAGGGAACAGGATTCCACATGACTGACTATATCCCAGCCCTAAGGGCTTGAAAAACACGTCAGGTGTGTGTGTCAGAGTGCCCCAATTCCGACAGAATGGAGAAGAGGAAGAGAAGAAACTGCTGTGTGACCACCCCCCCACACACACACTGGGGAATGGTTTCTCTCTCGCCCTCTCTCTCACTCTCCCTGTCCCTCTGTATCTCTGCCTCTCTATTCTTTTCTGGTGAATGAATGTGCCCTCTGGCAATAAAAATAGGTAGCTAATAAATTAGATATTTAAATTGTATAAACATAATTAGGAGTATGAAATTAGTATCAGAACTTTCTAGTACTAGATTTTGATTACATGTAATATTAAAAAGTAACAACATAATTTAATTAGTCTAATCACTATGTTTAGGAATAATTGCTTGGAATAATACTTTCTCTATCCCAAAACAATGTTTAGAGAAACAGTGTTTTAAAAATACTACATCTTGGGACCAACACTTGGCGTAATGGCTGTGTCGCTGGACTCCCTTGTAGTCGACCACGGTTCGAGTCCCGGACCTCATGGCTTAAACTCATGCCGGGCGCATGTGTGTGCATGCCCAAGATCCCAAGAGGAGAATGGACGAGAAGGGAATGCAGTGTGGCCATCCCCCTGGGGAGTGATTTCTCGCTTTCTGTCTCTCTCTGTCTTTCTGGAAAACACTTGCACCCTATAGCAAAAACCTCTCCAAAATACAAAAACAA